CGGGAGGCACAGAGTGGCGGTTTTTTTTTTTATTATTATTATTGATTTTTTTTTTTTTTCTTTTTTTAAAGTATGGAGGCTCAAGTATAAGATGTAGATTTTTCTTAAGCTTTACAGAAAAACAAAATAGAACAAAAACCTCCTTTTGCATTCCATAGAAATTTACAGAAAAGCACCTGGCTGGAAGAGCTAAACGGTCGGCGCGCCCCCCCGGCACCCACCCCGCAGCCTCTGTGGGACGGGCGAGTCTGCGCAGGATGGCACCACGGGCCACCTCTGCTCCCAGAGCTGTCCCAACCCCCAACCCCAAGCAACTCCCAAACACACACGGAATCAGATTTCCAGTTTTTCTTCTCTCTTTCACACACCACAGTTAGTTCATAAATTTTTTTTGTTTTACATTTTTTACACCAATGTAACAAAAAGGTGGAAGCGAAGGGAGGCTGGCAGACAGTGGATTTTATGGCTATAAATGTGGGGACGGGGAGGAAGACGGTCTCTATGGAAATGTGGAGAGCTGAGAGTGAGGTGTGGCGGAAGCAGGCTCGGAGCCGGGGGAGCGTGGCTATGGGGCTTTATTCTCAGGGAGAGATGGCGCTGTGAGGTCAATGATGCAGCTGTTATGTGACCTGTGGGGAGGGAAGGGACCAGGGGAGGGAGCAGAAAACAGGTTTTCTAAGAAAGGACTCTAACGAGTGCACGGCGTCTGGTTAGCTTGAAGCAGAGGTTTAGCATTGCTGCTTTCTCTTCAAAGCCTCCACCAGGTCATTCTTCAGAGCTTCTTGTTTTGATTTGTCTGCAAAAGTCTGCACAGACCTCAGCCCGTTGACAATATCCTTTGTTTTTCCAAAGTAGATCTCGTTCAGTGTACTTCTGATTTTATTTTCCATGTCCTCTACCAGGCGCCCGATGTTGGCTATGTGTGGGGAGCAGTTGCTCACAGTTTTATCTTTCTCCATCTGTCTGGTGAGGCTGCCTCCGAGGTTCATGGTGCCAGAGCCGGATTTGTTGGTCTGCAGCCACAGCATCACCGTGGAGGTCAACGTGTAATGGGCGGTGCAGCCACTGGATTTCTCCTGCACTTCCACCACGTGGATGGAATCTCAGCAGCCTTTGATCTTCTTTGATCCATCTCCAGCCTTCTTTATGAGGATCACTCCAGCAAAGCCATGATCCAGATCCCAGAGGTAGACAGATGAGACACCACCTTCAAAATACAGGTCTCGGTACTGGTCAAAGGCATTGTTGGCTTCCACCTCAAGGTTTCGAAGCCAAGCTGACGGCATGGACCCATCCTCCAAGGGAGGGTCGTACTTGTTACTCCATGGTGACCTATAGGAGTCCCCATCTCTGTTGTAGTCACACAAAAGGTAATCCTTTCCCACCACCTTGTCTCTGGCAATTTTCAGTGGCTGGTCAACAGAAGACAGGAGATCCTCACATAGACTGGGGACCAGGTCAATCAAGTCGCTGAGGTTTTTCTCGATTTGCTGTGGAGGCAGGCGCCTCATTAGGTCCAAGGCAAAGTCCAGCTGTTGATCACTCATGCTGGCCGCGGTGGTGGCGGTCCCGGTCCCTGCCGGGTGGAGATTTTTGTGATGTATTCTCAATCCTGAGAGAAAAGGTTTCAGTAGCAGTAGGAATGCCTCAGTTGTGCGTGCTCTGAGAATTTAAACAATAACTTCACCACACTAAATTTGAAATAATCGAAAGAAAATGTCCAATTTAATCTTGTTTTATCTTATATGACATTTGCTGGCCTCTGCCCCAGATAAGGTCATATTCTCTTCCTGTTTGTTTTTGTAAGACACTGAGTTTCTCAAGATGTAAGGACTCTTGTTTGTCCTGTAACATCAAAAATCTGATGTACTAAAGAAAATATGTCAATTTGCAGCTCAGTAAGGTCAGTTTTTGTAAAAATAACATACTTTTCTTGGATGCCTATATCTCCAGGCTGAGTATAAACTTTATTTTCAATATTACAAACTAGAAATAACACAAATATTATGATGCTTTATAAATAAGTAATAGGGTTGCTCTCATTAACTGCAATACTTATCCTCATTAGAATCAACACATTTTTTATACACAACCAAATTACTGACTCACAAGTAATTAGGCTGAGGAAAACGCCACAGAAATGAAATTGAAGCTACAAGATTTCACTTTAACAAATCTTGAAAAATAGATCTAAAGTAACAAAGATGAAAGTTTGTCTCAGTATAATAAGAAGGAATGACTGGGAGGCAGGAATTAGAGAAACAGGAGGAAGTTTTTTAGTGTAATCATTGATATCTTGATTTAACAATCAAGATTGGCTGCACAGGTGAGCACATGTGAAATGACATGTTTCCTTTGGAGACATGGTCTTGCTCTTTCATCCAGGCTGGAGCTCAGTGGTGAGATCATAGCTCTCTGCACACTCAGATCCTGGGTCTGCAGCAATCCTCCTCCCTCTTCCCTGCATAGCTGGGGCCACAGGTGTGTGCCACCATGCTCCGCTTCACTGCTTATTCAACTGCACACATTAATTATGCAATATTTATTAAAAAGCAATAATGCCTCAATAAGGGTATTGCCAATAAGTGGATGGGTAATTTGTTAGATAAAGATCGATGGAAAGATAGACACCAATATAAGAAATGTATGACACTCGAGAAAATACAACTGTAGGAAACGTGCTTTTCTTTACATTTGTCAGGTAATCACAACAGTGAATACACATGACACCATGTTCTCATTACAAAGAAAATGTTCTGCAAACTTCACTAGGTGCCACCCACTGTGTGCTGGGCTTGGTTCAGGGAGAAATCGGGTCCAGTGGTGAGAAGCACAGGCCCAGACACCCAGGTTCACTCTGACCAGATGCGAGCTCTGGGGACATTGTACAACCCACCTGTGCTTTTCCTGGTAATTTTTGACCTGTAACATGGAAATAACATTGATACCACATACCATGTTTTCTCTGCATATGTAAAAATAAAAGATGATTGGTGCTAACTTTAATTATATGTGGTTTATATAGATCTATTGTACTTCAATAAAACTGTTTTAAAATAGAAATTAAAATATGTAAGGGTTTATCACAGAACAAACTTACAATAAGAAAACACAATTTCCAAATACTATCAATGTCACAAATCTTCCCCAGGACACTGTCCTGTGCTCTGAGCCCCACTGTCTCCTCAGGCCTCTCAGCCCACAGCTTGCCATATGGCAGGAGACATGTAAATAGAGCCCTTCCTCTGCTTATAAAAACCAGCCCAGCCCTGACCCTGCAGCTCTGGGAGGGGAGCCCATCCCTGGGATTTTCAGGTGTTTCCATTTGGTGATCAGGACTGAACACAGAAGACTCACCATGGAATTTCAGGCTGAGCTGGGTTTTCCTTGTTGCTATTTTAAGAGGTAATTCATGGAGAACTATTGAAATTGAATGTGAGTGATAAGAGAGAGATAAATGGTGGATTTTTGTGACACTTTCTGACCAGGGTTTCTTTTTGTTTACAGGTGTCCAGTGTGAGATGCAACTGGTGGAGTCTGGGGGAGGCTTGGTTCAGCCTGGGGGGTCCCTGAGACTCTCCTGTGCAGCCTCTGGATTCACCTTCAGCAGCTATCACATGCATTAGGTCCACCAGGCTCCAGGGAAGGGGCTGGAGTGGGTCTCAGCTATTCGTACTGGTGGTAGCACATACTACACAGACGCCGTGAAGGGCCGATTCACCATCTCCAGAGACAACGCCAAGAACTCGCTGTATCTGCAGATGAACAGCCTGAGAGCCGAGGACACGGCCGTGTATTACTGTGCGAGAGACACAGTGAGGGGAAGTCAGTGTGAGCCCAGACACAAACCTCCTGCAGGGACACTCGGGGGAATCAGCTGCAGGGGGCGCTCAGGACCCACTGATCAGAGTCAACCCCAGAGGCAGGTGCAGATGGAGGCTGATTTCGTCAGGATGTGGACTTCATCTTCTTACATGTTCTCTAGTGAATCTCTCTAAGTTTAGAATTCTGTGCTTCCTAATATTATCTCTACCTTTTTTTAAAAGATCATTTTAACATGAGGATCTATTCTCACATGCAGCAAATGATGACGCTTACAGAAATTAAAAGTTCTCAACCATGTTCACCAGCATCAGAATCCTGAGGAAGCTCAGGGGTTCCTAATGAGTCGTCTCCAATCAGATCCAGGATAGAAACCTCAAGGAGATTCCCAGAATCAATAGAGAGGCTGCGTCAGTGTCAGCATCTTGTAGACCCTCACAGGTTTCACGTCCGACCCTTCTCCTGACCCTAAAGCCAATCGAATCAGCAGTGACCTGGGCTTATTTTGCCCCCAATCCATGTTCTTTCTTCAGACTGTTTATTCTTCCTTTTTTATTTGCTTTTCCTGCTTTCTAATATATAAAAAGATGGTCTCTGTGGTCTCCATTCCAGGCCTCAAGGCATTTTCTTGGAGCGCAGGTGGGGCTCAGGCTGTGGCTCCTGCAGCCACGTAGGAGAGGCTGATGGGGCTTCCTTCTCTCCCCATTTTCTCAGGACCTTCCACTGTGTTGTGTGTAGACTCATCTGGGAGTGCAATTAGCTGTTAATACTGAAGGGGATAAACTTATTTGATCAAAAGGGTGTGTGGATGTGGAATTAACCCTGTTCTATGCAAATTGTCAGAGTCATCTTCTTGAGAAGTAGTGTTAGAAAGAGCTTGTGAAATGTATCAGAATCAAAATGGAGCCACGTGTGTTAAAATCCCAATGAACAAAACTGGGGAAGACCATCAAGGAGGGTCTAACACACATATTCCTGATAACAAGAACAGTCATAAATAGACTCTGCACAGCCACAACCTTGCACAGAGGCCACCACAATCTTTTCTTTTCTATTTTTCTTTTCTTGTCCTTTTTTTTTTTTTTTTTTTGAGATGGAGTTTTACCGTTGTTGCCCAGGCTGGATTGCAATGGTGCGATCTCGGCTCACCAAAACGTCTGCCTCCTTGGTTCAAGCAATTCTCCTGCCTTAGCGCCCCCACCCACCACTCCCGAGTAGCTGGGATTGCAGGCATGTGCCACCACACCCAGCTAATTTTGTAGTTTTAGTAGAGATGGAGATTTCTCCATATTGGTCAGGCTGGCCTCGAAACTCCTGACCTCAGGTGATACACCTGACTCAGCCTCCCAAAATTCAGGGATTACAGGTGTGAGCCACTGCACCTAGACCAGGCCACCATAATCTTAAAAGAATTGCTTCTCTACATGTATCTGTCCAGCAACTGCCTATTAACCTCACATCAATGTCATCCTTCTTATTAACCCTTCCAGCCCAGGATAACTGTCTCAAAACAGCTGATGTAACCCTGCCTCATTTTCCCTTCATTCTTTATCTTCCTTTACCAACCCAAATGCACCCACACATATTTCAAATGCAATATCCATTTTTGGATAAGTATTTTTGTATTTTAGAGTCTCTCTCTGTTATTCAGAGTTGACAGACTACAGATGAACATGCCACTGTTTTGCGAGGCATAGGGGATGACCATTTTTGGAGATGGCTAGGGATATCCAACGTGCATAAGATCATCCATCAGTCATTACAGGCTGGAAGTCCCAGAGAGAGGTGAAGCTGCCAAATCGCCATGGAATTTCATTTTCTCCAGTTCTGCTCTGATGGAATCAGGCACAACCATTTTATCAATGACAATTTACCTAACCTAGAGTCAGCTGATGACAGGTTGAATAACATCTATTATGTAAGTTGACATCATCACTTATATTAATGTTGGATTGAATAACTACAGTTTACCTTAACCACGGGTGCCTGAAAACTAACCATTACCCATAGAGAAGAACCTTTAACATGAGATCTATGTTCTTAAATTTTTAAGGTATAAAACTGAACACTTTACAACCAGGCATTTATGATTTTGTTAATGAGTTGTAGAAGTTGCATTCATATTTTGGGTATTAACACTTTTTCAGATGCGTGGTTTGTAATTATATTCTCCCATTTTGTATGTTATAATTTTTTCCATGATTTGCAGAATCTTTCTATTGTGATGCAGTTCCACTTGTTCAAATCTGCTCTTGTTGTCTGTGCCTTCAATGTGAAACATAGGAAATCTCTGTTAACATTATTTTTGGGTGAGAGAAATTGTACAACTGCAGGTTATGCATTTAACTATTTAGCCCATTTAGAGTTGATTTTTGTGTTTATTCTAACCTAAAATTCTTAACTCTTTTCATGTGTAAATCCAGTTTTGCCAACAGCCTCTTAGGGAGAGACTTTAGTTTATCCATTGTGTATTGTTGGTTCTCACGTTGAAAATCAGGTTGTCCTCGGTTTATCAGTTTATTTCTGAACTCTCAATATCTATTTATGCCTATCCCATCTTGTTTTTATTACTCTACTTTTGTAATTACTTTTGAAATCTGGAAGTAAAATGCCTTCAAGTTTATTCTTGCCTTGTTACATATACTATAGAAAAATATATTAACATTTTACTATTAATTAAGTATGGTAATAGATATGGCTTTTCATAATGACTTTAATGGTAAACTTAGGCAATAGGTATAAATTTAAGAAAAATTTCCTGTGATGTTTCAGCCAGAAAAGAGCAAACGTCAGCTTTACACCTGGAGACTTCCTGTATCTGTCACAGACCAGAGAAAGAAGACCACTACAGCATTAAAATTCAGCGGGAAGAACATGTAATGCTTCCGTGTTCCACACGTTACGTTGTTACCAGTTTAGTCAATACTGATTAAATATGAAAGTGTGGCAATGCACAAACTCTTTCTCAGGAGGAAAGTAGGAGAAAAAATGGTTGAGGAAAATAGAGCCATTTGAAGTCTATGACACCAGCAACTTCAGCACCAAGGAAATTATGTCACTCTCAGGGCCTCCAATTTACTTTTCATGGGGCAGCTGCAGGGTTCCAGAGTGAGAACAGGTGAATTTAATGTGCATGCTCTTCCCAAGTCTCCACTTGTATTCTGTTTTCTTTACTTCTGTTTGCAGAAAGTAGACACATACTCAGCCTTAGTGTCACTGTAGGGAGTGCTTTCTGTGAGATGGATACCAGACAAAGAGGCAAACCATGAGACCCATTAATGTAAAAATTTGCCACGATATGTGTGTGTGTGTGTGTGTGTGTGTGTGTGTGTGTGTGTGAATGTGTGCAGGTGTATGTGTGATTTGAATAGCAGATTTGGAGTGGGCTTCTAGCCACAGCACTTGCACCTGCGGGTATCCTCAGATGCAATAACAAACTGCAGGACCCTAAAGGAAATAGGAGTCTGCCCCAAACTCCGGAAGAGTTTTTGGATCCACCATTTGTCCAATGATTCAGTGCCTCTTGAGCTCCAGGAAAGGGCTCCCTGGTGATGCAGGAGATCTTTTCTTGGGGTCTCCCTGCAGAGTTTGCTGGTTTCCTAAGGCCATTTTAATATTCGAAAAGATGCTGTGAGAAGCATATCGCATCAATAAAGAAGAATTCCGAGACAGGTCACAGCCAATTTATACTGGGCTAGAGACACTGGTGGGAATGTATTCTGATCAGACGGAAACCTCCCTGCAGGGCTGGGACTGGGCTGCAGGGGGCGCTCAGGACACACCCAGCACAGGCTGCTGGCTCAGAGCAGGTGCACAGGAGGCTGGGGAGCGGTTCCTCTCAGGGCCTGGGACTTCCTTTAAGGATATCTAAAATTAGTATATCACAAGGACTGGCGATATTTGTAAAAATATACTATTTAATTGTCACCATTTATCAAACTGGACGTTATAATGAGAACCACTTTTGCAATAGGTATTTCAAACTCAGCTAGATCTCTTATTAGTAAACAGTCGGAGGTCAGGGCAAGACTCTTTCTTAAAATAAGTGAAATTTTTGGAGAAACACATTCATTCCCAAAATAACACGTTAGCATATTAAGGTCTAGAAATGGTTCATGTTGCCCCTGAGACATTCAAATGTGGGTTCAAAATGACATGTGTGTCCTGAGGAAGCCTGTTACCCAGTGAGGGAAGCTCTGTCAACACAGTTCAGGGATGTGTCAGGGACGCATGATTTTTAACAGGATTACAGCTTGAACCCTCAGCTTCTACAATTGTGTCGTCCATGTGTCATCTATTTGCTCTTTCTCATACTGGGTCAGGAATTGGGCTATTAAATAGCATCCTTCATGCATATGCAAATAACTGAGGTGAATTTAGACATCTCTGTGCCTGAGAGTATCAACCAACAACCACACCCCTCCTTGAGAGAAGCCCCTAGAGCACAACTCCTCACCATGGACTGGACCTGGAGGATCCTCTTCTTGGTGGCAGCAGCAACAGGTTAGGGGCTCCCCAGTCCCAGGGCTGAGGGAGAAACCAGGCCAGTCAAGTGAGACTTCACCCACTCCTGTCTCCTCTCCACAGGTGTCCACTCCCAGGTGCAACTGGTGCAGTCTGGGGCTGAGGTGAAGAAGCCTGGGGCCTCAGTGTAGATCTCCTGCAAGGCTTCTGGATACACCTTTACCAGCTACTATATGAACTGGGTGTGACAGGCCCCTGGACAAGGGCTTGAGTGGATGGGACGGATCGACCCTGGTAATGGTAACACAAACTATGCACAGAAGTTCCAGGGCAGAGTCAGCATGACCAGTGACACGTCCACGAGCACAGCCTACATGGAGCTAAGCAGCCTGAGACCTGAGGACACGGCCGTGTATTACTGTGGGAGAGACACAGTGTGAAAACCACATCCTGAGATTGTCAGAAACCCCAGAAAGGAGGCAGCTGTGCTGACATGGAGGAGATAACAAATATTAGATTTAAGACTTTCTTAGAAACTAACATTAAGTCATTAAAGAAAAAAGTATATAGATGTATATTTGAGAAATTTTAATTATTTGAGAGATTTTTCATACAACAGATACTCTGTAAACAAATATCAGAGACTGGAGAATGAATGCAATTAATAAAGCTGATATAAAACTTCCTCTGAAGGGATCTTTGTAAACATCAATTTCTGAATCAGTGTTATAAATATTTTGGAACACATGTACAAATCACATTTTAACTCTACTTTTATCCATATTTTTTAAATTGCCAAAAAAAGTCATGTTGTGCATGTAGCATTTTGAATTCCCACCATCAATGCATGGTAGTTCTTTGTTTTCCCCATTCATATTGTCACTTGTCACTATAAGAATTATGTGTTTGAACCATTGTAATAGGTGAGTAATGGTATCTAACTTATTTAAATGCACATGTCTCTAATAAAAATTCAAATTTAAAATTTTCATATAATTTTTGGTGAGATACCTCTCCTGATAGTTGGTTCATTGTTAACTGCATTGTTTTCTTTTGATTAGTTTTAAATATACTTGCCTATTTATTGTAAGTGTAACTTAATTAAAATAATTCAAATTTAACAAATATGTGACTTTGAAGTATTTTCTCCAAGGCTCTGGCTCACTTTTACTTCCTCATCAGTGTGTATTGCAGAAAAATATGTGTGTGCGTGTTTGTACAAATTTAGATTTAAAAATGTAATTATTCACCCATAGATCATGTCTTTGGCATTATATCTGATATCTCATCATAAAACACACTAACAGTGATTATTCTCCATGTCTCTAATCTCACGCCACAATCAATTCTTGAGCGATTAAGCTTCACCTGCTTGATTAGAGGACTATTAACCTAACACATTTGGAATGCTTCTGTAAGGAGCTGTGTTCTTCTTCCCATTATTTCTTCAGTTAATCATCCATTAATATCTGTACTGGTATATGGATGTCTATTTCATATTCTGAAGAGGATCCATGCTACATTACCCATTTTATTTTTTAAAACACCACAGCTTTACCAGGCAGCTGGGAGCTCATTTAGTTTGGATTCTGCATCCTTAGAGCACACCTCATCCTTTGGTTTTTGAACACTTCCCTGCTTCCTGGTATTACAATAAATTCTAAGCTTGTTTCCTTTATTATCTTTTTTGTACATAGAATCAGCCATTTTTCTAAAGATAACTTGTTTCTGATGTTAAAGAATAGTATTAACATAAAAAAATGTGACACTGGTTATGTGTGTTGTTAATGTTGTATAAGTACTTGTAAGGCCTCTCAACCAACTTGTCTAGCAAATGTGCATGTTTATGTGAACTCATGTTTATGGACACATTGAAACTATTTATGTATCTAATCTTCTCTAACTTTATTACATTAAAAATGAGAACACACTTGTCTCTTCCCCCAACTGTGTCACCACTTGGACCTTTCTCACCTTCCTTCTTGACTGTCCATGAACTCCCACTGCAAAATGAGGAACCCCATCCCTGCCATATGCCATTGTATTACTTGACTGCAGAATTTCAGGACACATGCATAGCAGTATCAGAAATGTAAAGATTTACCCTCGTTGGAAACATGTTTATCTACTAGAATAGAGTGGCTTATGTGCAGCTTCTTTACACTTTAAACTTACAGAATTTTCTGATTGTCAAAGTTTCTTAGGTCAGCAACTTCATTTTCCACTTTGTTCATTGCTGTCATTTCATTATAAACTGTCATATATAAACTTAAATGTCATTTATAAACTTAAACTGTCACTTAAACTGTCATTATAAACTGTCATTTATAAATTTAAATGTCATTTATAAACTTAAACTGTCATTTAAACTGTCATTATAAACTGTCATTTCAATGACACTTTATAATTTGATTTATTTAAAATTTTATAAAAGACAAAACTATAGACAAGTAAATATATAGAGGATATTCCAGGAATTTAGAGAGTGGGTATATAATAAGTTTAAAAGGCACTGTTTAAGAAGAGTAAAAGTATTTTTAGTGGTATGCGATATGAGACATTACACAATTAATTTGTCTAAGCACATACTTTTGTGATGGAAAATATAAACTTAAATATATACAATTTACAAAGAACTATTTAGGAGTTCATTAACCCCAGGATCAAATGAATTGTATAAAATTAGAACTTATTTCATGAGGGTGGGGTTGTCATGAGATGAATGAAACAAAGAATGAAGTAATTTTCCTCATTTGCATATAAGATGTTAAAACAAATCAATTTTCTATATGACCCAGGTTTTTTTAATTCCTGACAAGCAAATAACCCATGGGATTTTTTTCTTTCCTTGGTTGAGAAAGGTTTTCCCAAATTTCAGCTCGGTTCAGGCATACACTGTCCCCAAATGGGCATTTACCCTCAGATGGGTGCACACACCTGTCAACATGTGGACTCTGCTGTCCGACAAACACACCTTTTACTCAGGTGGATTCTTTCTTCAGACATACACACCTGTTCCCTCATGGACTCTTTCCTTAGACTACCACATATGTTCTTATATTTACTCTTTCCTCAGGAAACAGACATTTCTGCATGTGGACTCTTGTCTCAGACAAGCATACATGTCTCCATGTGAACTCTTCACTCAGATAAGTACACGTGTTTCCACACTGACTGTTTTCTTACAAGGGCACATATATCCAATGTTGAAATGTTTTGTGACAAAATGATCTCAAGATAATGATCATTATAACCCCCTCCCTGACAAGGTGTAGATTTGTATGTTTTTCATGGAAGCCTAACTTTGCCTTATTGTCAAGAACTGGAGTTTGCAGCTCTAAATGCACCAATTAGAGACAGGTGTCCATTTTCTCTAGAAATCTATTTTTAGTTTCTTACTGGATGTATTTGTTGATGTTTGCTACTATGAAGATACCTGGACAGTGTCCACATTAGAGAATAAGAAAGAGTAATGGGCAGATTAACCATGTGCATTTAGACCCAGGAATCTTATAACCCTGCCCTCCCTGAAATGGAGACACAGAGGATGGATGAGCAATGCTGAGCGGTGCACCATGACCACAAAAAGAAAGACATGGAAAATCACTACACCCAAAAACTACTGAGTAACAGAGTTTAAGCAATGAGCAGGTCAGTGCTGAGATGCCAGGAGAACCATGGCTCTCAGGTACATTGTTCTAAACCCAGAACTGAGCCGCACAATCTATGGCCAAGTTGATCTTGACAAAGTCAACAAAAATATGCACTGGAAAGGGGACACTCTCTTCATTACATGTTGCTGGGACAACTGGACTGCCATATGCAGGATAAATGAAACTGGACCTCAACCTCTCAACAGAAAATGGACTGAAGACTTGAACGTAGGACCTCAAACTATGAACATACTCACAGAAGGCACCAGAACTCCTCTGGGCATTGGGCTTAGTAAATAATTTATGCCTAAAAGCTCAAAAACACAAGCAATAACATCAAAATAAGACAAATGACACTTAGTTAAACTAAAGAGCTTTCACACAGCAACAGAGTGAACAGACATATTGCAGAACAATGAAAAATATTTATACACATTGCATCTGACAGGGGACTAATATGCAGCATTTACACAGAACTGAAACAATTCTACCACAACAGCTATGAAAAACAATCTCATTCTAAATTGGGAAAGAACATGAATCAGAATTTATTTAAAGACCACATGAAACTAGGACAATAGATATGTAAACAATGCTAAACATCACTAATCATCAGGGAGATGAAAATTCAAACTGCAATGACATATCTTAAACCCATCAGAATGGCTATCATTAAGAGCCAAAAATATCAGATACTTGTGAGGATCGAAGGACTCTCTTTGATTCAATAACCCTAATACTGGGTAACTATCCAAAGGATAAATAAATGGTTATATCAGAATAATAACCAGTCTTTTGTTTTCCTGTATAGCTATTCACAATAGCACAGATACCAACCAAAGAATTAACCTGTGTCTAACAAAAGATAATTTTATAGAGAAAATGTTACATATATATATACAATTAAATACTATCCAGCCATATTAAGGAATGGAATCATGTCTTTCACAGCTACATGGATGGAACTCGAGGTCATTAGTTTAAGTGTAATAACTGAGAAACAGAACAGCACACACCACATGATGTCACTTATAAATGGGAGCTAAATAGTATGTGCACAGGGATATAGAGAAATAAATGATGAACATTGGAGACTCAACGATGGGAGAGCAGAAGGTGGGAGAATGGTGAGAAATTATTTAATGAGTACTATGTACATTATTTGGATCATGTACACATTAAAGCCAAGACTACAATGCAGTACATATGTAATAAAATTGCAGTCACTCCCTATAAATGTGTACATATAAAAACAAATATAATTAAAATATGAAATTAACAGTTGACCAATAATCTTGAAAATTAAAACTTGTAATCAATAAATGAAAATAATGTTAGTTGAACATCATCAAATTTTGAAACATTTTCTACTCAAGTGACTGTCAAGAAAATAAGGATGAGCTTCAGAGTAGAAAATATTTGAAAATCACCTATTAGCAATGTAATCATAATAAGAATCTGCAAATTCAACAGCAAAAAGAAGCAATCTGTTTATAAAATAGGCAAATGTTACTGTTTAAAATCATATGTTCCCACACATGTGTTCAGATACTTAACATTGTGTGTGTGTGTGTGTGTGTGTGTGTGTGTGTGTGTGTTAAAAACTAAAAAGAACATCAATGTCCTTCAAAATAGGATAGAAACCATTACAGTGAACTCCAGAATTTCTTCTAAGTGACATAAAACCTGCCTGAAAGATCCCTAGAGACAGTCATGGATATCACTGTCACCGTTACCTGTCAGTGTTTGGGCTGGGCTCTCTCTGTCCCTTCCCTGATCAGGACCAG